CTGAGCTCTGTGCTGCCCCTGGAAGGGGAGGGGACACACCTTTCCCAGGAGTGCTCACGTACCTCCAGGATTTCATCCTTCAGCACCGACAGCTCGTTGGCGTTTCGTGCAGTGAAATCGTAGCGGATTTTGGCAAATCTCCTGGGCACAGCCACTCCCTGGGCCTCAAAATTCCTGCAGGAGAGGAAAACTGGAGTTTTTGTGGAGGCCCATCCAATTACAAGGCCAAGAAAATTGAAATTGGAGAAGAGAAATGATCCTTTCCCTATTCCACACTGCATCTCTACCACCTGATGTTCCTACCAAGACCAGTGATAGGGTAAATGAGAAAAAAAATTATTATTTTGCTGATATAATTTGGTTTAAGGTCTTTTGCTGTGGATTTAAATTCTTGTAGTAAAGCTTATAAATCTTTTAGATTAGAACAGAAAACCATGGAAAAACTGGCTTGAGGGTTTTTTTTTCCCAGACTAGAGCTGGTGACAGAAAAATGGATGGTCAGCTGAAACCTTGACTCCAATTCCTGCAAAGTGATGTGTCAAGTCATGACAGAGGATTCATGGGGAAGTCTGGAAGAGTTTGGTGACACTCAAGAGATGTGACAATTTTCAAGGTGTGAGCTCATGTAAACAAGGAAGCAGATGGAGCCTCTAAACTCTGAACTAGAAGTACTTTGATGAAGGTTTTGTACCAAGGAGTAACTGGTGATGGAAAATGAGCATTGAAGCTGTTGAAAGGTGGAAGAGCCATCTTTCCCTTGGGAAAAAACCTGAGGCAAAAGAGTGGCTGGTTGGTTCTGGGTTTGGAAGTGAACTTTCTGAGACTTCTGATGAAAGGGTTTTTCTCCATTTTCTAGAATTCTGTCTCATTAAGAAGAGTTGTCTGAACCTGGCACCTTGTCAGTTCCCTGGGGGAGAGGTGGGCAGGACTGGAATCTATTTTTTTATTCAGCCTCTAATCAGTGGGTTTGCCTTTGGTTGTGTCTAAAGCCAAGAGGGAGCTGCTGTCTCCAGTGAAACAAAGCTCGTTCTTCAGCTGGAATGTTTTCCAGCAGCGCTGGGAGCTTGGGCCACTCTTCCCTGGCCCTGTGTTTCCAACACGGCAAGGTTTGTGTGTGCCCTTCCCTTAGGGCAGCTTCTGTCTGCAGCCTGTGGTGGCTCTGGGATGATTGGAGAGATCCTCAAGGGTGTTCAGAGGAGGCCAGGAAGGGTCAGGAAGTGCTCCAAGGGCTGGAGCATTACACAGACAGGCTGGGAGAGCTGGGAATGTTCAACCTGGAGAAGAGAACGTTCCAGGGAACCTTTAGAGCCCTTTCCAGTGCCTAAAGGGACTCCAAGAGAGCTGGAGAGGGACTTTGAGGAAGAGGCTGGAGTGACAGGACAAGGGGGAATGGCTTCCAGAGGGTGGGTTTAGATGCATATTGGGAAGAAATTCTTCCCTGTGTGGGTGGGGAGGCCCTGGCACAGATTGCCCAGAAAACATGGCTGCCCCATCCTAGGAAGTGTTCAAGGCCAGGTTGGACAGAGCTTGGAGCAACCTGGGATAGTGGAAGGTGTCCCTGGCCCTGGCAGGGGGTTGGAACTGGGTAATCTTTAAGGTCCTGTCCCACCCAATACATTCTGTAATTCCATTATTCCAACATGTGGAGAGCCAAAGCACAGTGCAGCATCTTTGGCACCTGAAAGTCACTTTGGTGGGCTGATGTTGGGAAACAAAACCTATGGATGGACTGATGAAATCAGCCAATATTTTTGTCTCCTGTGGTGGAAAACACCTGGGATTCCTTTCCTTGTAGAACTGCAGGGGGTTAAACAGCAGACAGTGCTCATAGGAATAATCCCTCAGCTGATCTTTATCTTCTCTTGGAGGTTATTAATAATGGTAGGGAGTCGTCTCCAGGATGCCCAAGTTTCCCAGTGTCACCATATGTGCCTGTGTGTGTCCATGAGGTTCCAAGGTAGGAGCTGAAGCTCCAGGGGTGCAGATCCTTTACCTATTTCCATGTGGAGTGACATTCTGTTTGAAGGCATCCCCAGGCTGTGTCTGCTCAGCTGTCTGGCCACGCTTGAGTGAGGAGTTCCGGTAAGGATATCCATTGGCTGAGGAGAGCTGGAAATGCAGACATGGAGTCAGTGTTACCAGGAAAGGGGAAAGCTGAACAGAGAAAAGGAAAGGGATAGTGGGAGATGAGTCATGGCATGGCAGCTTTTGGTCAAGATGTTCTTCAGGGAAGCCTGTGTCCCTGGAGCTCAGTGACATTGTAGGGTCCTGTTGCCTTGATTTGGGAGAGGCTGATTATTGCTGCCCTTTTCCAGCCTCACAATTTGCTTTCCATATTTAATGTTCTGGTTGTTGAAGCGACCAGATCCAACTGAGTTTTGATCCAACTACTTGTTTTACACCACCACACCCCCCTCAGCTCCATCTCTCTGGAAAAGGGGGAGGGAGAGGGAAGAGAGGATCCCCAGGGACACAGGACTATTGGAATATGAATCCCAATATTACCAGTTAGATTGTGCCTGGGCCAGCCTGACCCTCGCTGCTGAGCCAAAGGCGGCTTCTGTGGTGGATCACCCCAGAGACACCTTTAGCTTGCTGGTGGTTTCAGTTGGGCACTAAACAAGTCCAGGCTTGTTAGGGATTCCGTTTACCTTAGGAAGAGGCTTCAGGCGAAGGTGAGGACAAAGGAGGGATTCTGCTGGAGGGTTTAATATCCAAAGGTTTATTCCATGGTTACAGATGTCTGAATCTTGGGAAGAACTCCAACAGAATAGCAAGCACATGGCCTGCTTCACCTTTTAAGCTCAGGGGGAGGGGAGGGGAAGGGAGGGGACAGGTGAGCCACCAACCAGGTGGGGGGGGCGGGGTCTCAAGGGACGAGGGACACCTAGACAGACCAATGACCTCTGGGCCTGAGGGGCATCCTTTGAATTTGACCAACCACACGATGCCTTTGCTGGAATGTTAAGCCTGATTGTCAGGACTTGTGGGATCTCAGCACCTCAGGACTGAGGTGCCGAGTCACCGAGACCACCCTTGGGGGGCTCGGGAGTCCTGGAATGTTGCCAGAAGTGTCTGGTGGCTGGACTTTGATCCTACACAGGAGACGACACCTGTATGAGGATAGGAGGATTTCACCGGGGTGAATGGTGAAGGGATAAGCTAATTAGAGAGTGAAACACAGGGTTTAGGATTTCTGTACAGGGGGGTTTAGAGAAGTAAGATGGAGGAATTGGGGCGTGTCCTGTCCTTCTTCTTCTTCTTCTCCTCCATCTTCTGTGGTGATGGTGGCACTTTAGGATTAGTTGTTACTAAAAGTGCACTGGTTAATAAGGGTAAAAGGTATTGGGGAAAAATGATAAATATTGTATACGTAACTTTGGGTATAAAGATAGATGACCGCCCCGGAGGGCGGGGGAGTGTGCTTATGGCTGGCTGCTGAGCAGACCTCTGTCGGGCCGAGAGAAAATCTTTTAGATAAGCAATTAATGAACACCGAGACCGAGAAAAGATTTGAAGCCTCTTCTCGTCCTTTGAAGTGCGGGCTGCCCCAAGGCCACCCCGGGCCTTTCCAGGCTATCTAAACAGCCAAGAATCTGACAAGGACTCACTCAGCAAGGGGGCAAGGGGGAAGGGAGGGTTTTGGCGCACCTGGGTAAGGGACCCAGAAGTTTAAAACACACTGCAACACAGGACTAACCTCCTCTTGCAAGTGTCCGATGTCTATTTCCCAGGGAGCTCCACGGAAGATTTCCGTGGGTGGTTCCCAGCCATTGCGGAACTTGGGGATGTAGGTGGGAATGTTCGCGTCCCGGGGCCACTCAGCTCTAGGACACAAAGTGGGAATATCAGGTTACATTCTCAGGAATGTGTCTTTGGGAGCATCCTCTCAAAGGAGAAGCAGTAGCATCAGGGCATCCAAGCATCCCCTCTGCCTGGGGAGCCTGGGGAGATGGCAGCTCTGTCCTCACCTGGATCTGGTCCATGTCTCCCCCAGGGAATCCCAGAGGTTTATCTCTTTGGGTGTCAGGTGTCCTCTCAGGAAATCGGTGGCATCTTTAGAAAGCAGTGGGCTGAGGACAGACCGGGCCAGCTCGGGGCCACCACAGCTATTGATGATCTGGGTCACACACAAACCACACAAAGAGGAGAGAACTTGCAATGGTCAAAATGTCAAACCAGGGACATGCAGACGAGCAGGAATCAAAGACAAAGCTGATCCTTAGATCAGCTCAGTCACCTCAAGAAACATCAACCTAAGACTTTGAAGGCGACTGGACAGTTCAGGGGAACATGAAATTTTTTTAGATTTGAGTCAAAGTAAGATCTGATCTATAAATGAGCTGTTGCTACAGACAAGTGAATTGTCACAAGCTGACACTTCAAAAAATGGAAAGTATCTTGCTATTCCTGTGTCCCTTCTGGCTCCTTTTCCAAGTTGAGATTTCTGCTTCCAAGCATTTTCAGTGCAATTGCCTGATGGTGAGACCAGACAGATTCCCAGTGGGAACCCCAGCTCACTGCCCCTTTTGCTCACAGTAAAGCTTTATTGATTGGATGGAAAGATTCATATTTGTTGGGGTTCCTGTATTTACTTTAAGCTGCAAACCAGATCAGCGGCCAGGAACAACCAGCATCACTTCTGGAAGTTCCTGAGAAAGCTGTGGACAGTGTAGCAGTTTTCTAACCCTTCTGCACAATCTCTCTCCTTATAGGTGTGAAGTAGAAATGAAAAGGGAGTTCCCAGTGAGATCTGGGAATAAGATTTACCAGTTCCAGTGGCCCAAATAGGAAATGCACCAGCTCCGAAGCGCTGGGGTTCTGGATGTGCTTCCTCAGTTTGGCCTGGAAAGAGAAACACAGTTTAACCCTAACCTGAGTGTGCCTTCTCTTCTCTGTCACATGGTGGGAGTGTTGCTGGCTGATGAGAAGAGTAAGGGATGGAGGAATAGGAATAATTTATTTTAATTTTGTGTCCATTTCAAATTCCTGATTAATTTCTCTCTGTTAAATCAGTGCCTTGGAAGGTAATTTGAACATACACATAAAACCTTGGCTTAATTTGAAAGTCCTAGGGAGAAAACGCCAGGGTTATGGTTGCTTCTGACTCCTGCAGGGTTGAGAATCCCACAAGTTCCATGAATGAAAACAGGATAGGTGTTTTGAGGGTCCCTTTGCAATTGCTGACAAAGGAAAGTCTTGCCTGTGGCACTTGGAGCTGCCCTGGCCACTGAAAGGCTCCAAATCCAGTTGTGTTTGAGGTGAACTGTGGCAGAATGGAGGAGCAAACACTTGGGATTAATTTACTGTAAGAACTGGGTTTTGGTAGCAGCAATCAGCAGAGCTGTGGTGAGAAACCTCTCCAGTTTCTGCTTCCATTCAAGATCCTTCTCCTGTCCTGGGCTCCTGGCACTGCTGCCATGAGAGACAGGCTCCCTGCTCCTACTGAAATGCAAAGCATTTGAAATGCTGGAGATTAGCATGAATGTGGAGTGGGAAGTGAGAAACAACCGCTGGCAGCAGGGTGACCCAGTGAATGGGCACTTCCCAGGGACTTAGCAGCTATGTGGTGAGGAATGTGGCATGGATCCACCACAGAGTGCCAGCTCTGCTCAATGCTCAACCCTGGGCTCTTGCCAGGAGATAAGCTGTTCCTTCTGATCCTGTGCAGGCACAAATTATCCATATTTGCTTCTCAGAGAAAAGGCTGGAGCTTGGTGTCCTGCAAACCCTGTCTCTGGGGTTTCCTTATTAAAGACTGCCCAGGAAGGAGCTTGGAGGATGTGTTTGCTGGACACTTTTGGTCACAACTGACAGAATTCCTGCTGCCTTATTAGCCTCCCAGAGCTGGTAGCACTGGGAACATCTTTATCTCTTTCTTTTCTTCCCCTTCACAATACAGAGGGTCTGGCAGGGAAGAGAGGGGTCAGGAATATCAGGGCAATGGGAGACTTCAGTTACTGTCAAGTAGAGACTCCCCAGGCCTGGATCTGAAAAGATCTGGGTGCTGCAACCCTCTGCTGCTCTGTCCCTTCCTGGACTTGGTGCTTCTAGTTTTGGTTTAACAGCTTGTCCCAGAAAACCTGCATAAGTCTGACACAATGTTTGTCCTGAGTTCTAAAGAACCTGGAATTCACACTGTTGTCCCTTGTAAGTGTTTTCTATTCAAGTTTCACTTTAAACACTCACTGCTGGGATTCACAGGGAAAAGAAAGCCCTGTCCCTGCATAGGATGGAAACTCCTCTGTGTCTTACCAACAGGTTGAAAGCCAGTTTGGTTTTCTGGAAGCAGTCAATGAACTCGGCCTCGCTCGGGGGTCTTGCTCGGAGGGTCAGCATTCCCTCTGCCAGGAGAAGGGGCAGAGAAGGACACGTTAGTGAGAGCATCCCCTTTGGGCAGCTTCCATCTGCCTGCCATGCAGAAGGCAAGCAGAAACAGGTGTTGAGACCAGAACTACTGAAAATCAGGGGTTCAGGGAAAGGCAAACTCCCGCTGTGTGTTCTGCCAGAGGTGCCCCCGGAGAGCGGCACCTCCCAAACTTGTGTGCCTGGATCTGTGGCTGTGCCATGGCATCGATCCAGCCTTGCTGGGCCAGGAGCTGAGGTGTCCCCCCCACCTTCATCCATGACCCCCTGTGCTCCCTGTTTGTTGTGGCTGCTGCACTGCACCTGCTGGCCCTTTCTTCTTGTTCTTCTTCCCTTTCTTCCTTTGGTTGAGCTGTCGGAATGCCTCTGCAGCCTTCTGGAGCCGGGCAACGAACACTTCAATGTCATCCAGGGTGCAGTTCAGGATTTGCTGTGAGGACAGAAACCCAAAGGACCAACGTGAAAGTGAGCCTGGACTGCACACACCTGGGAACCTGAATCCCAGGGCCTGCTGCATTTCCCGGGAGAATGCACACAAGTGGGTAATCTAGGCATGAAATGCAGCTCAATGCTTCCCTTTGCAAGCACAGAGCTGCTGGGCCTGGCTGTGTGCTGTCCTTACCAAGGGGACAAGTGACCCCTCCTAATGGACAGCTGGAAAATAACCCAAGTGGGATGGGGAGGAGCAGAGCTGGAATCAGCAGAGCTGCCTCAGGTCAGAGGACATTGTCACTGATGCAGTGATGGAGACTTGCTTTTGGCCACCTTATCTTTATGCACAGCAGGTATCAATTGGAAAAATGCCTAGCTGATGCATTAAATGTCTACTCCCTGCCTCTGCTCCCTCTCCCTTGCTCCCTGCCTCTGCTCCTGCCTATGGACTGTGCAGTGTCCCTGTCACCCACCGTTTCCTTTTCAATCTTCTGTGCTAACATGGCACGGGATTCCTCATGGTCATGAGAGCCAGAGCTTCGTCGGTCATAGTCTGCAAACCAGGGAGAGAAAAACAGATTTACTACCAGAGGTTGGAAATAGGCTCCATGAAAGACAGGAGTCCATGGGATGGTAGCTCCAAGTTTGGGTGCTTGTTCTGGGTTGTGAGGGCACCTCAGGAATAACGTTTGTAACAGGTGCTAATGCCAATCATCCTGCAAAAAACCCAACCCCAAGGCACCTCCTGGCTTCCAGAAGCCACACACCCAGTGTGGGGGGGGGATATTCCAGTGGGAACAATCGCTGGGTTGGCCCCTCGTGCAAAGCAAACGGTGTCAGCTCAGGGCAGGGGCTTGGAAAGGGCACCACAGCAGGATCTGCCAAGTGGGAGAACTGGGGAGGCAGTTCTGGCAAAGGACCATGACAAGTCCAGAGCATCTGTAAATGTGGGGATGAGGTACCCCATCCCTGAGGACAGGTTTTGTAGGAAAAGCAGGAAGGTGTTTCCTGGAGAAGGAATCTCAGCAAACAGGCATCACTCAAGACTTTCTCCTGTCATCTGCTCTCGTGCCAGGCTCTGTGCACTCAGAGCCAGAAATCCTGCCTAGAGGAATTACCAGCTCTGCTGATGTGAGCACCCTTGGAAGGGCAGAGGTAAGAGTGGCTGCTTTTCACCAGAATAGAGATGTTTATTCATGGTCCAGCTGAGAAACAGAGATACTCCTTTTATGATGCAGAACTGGGCCTGAAATAAGTTCTCCATTCAGCAGCCAGACCAGTTGCTTGGCTTCAGAAGCCATCCCAGCAAATGAGTGTTTTGGATGTGTTACAGTATCCTATTACCTGTTTTCCTTGAAACTAGAAATGAATGCTAAGATAAGGTGGTATGATAGGCAGGGGTAAAAAATGCTTACAGTTTGTTCATCACTTTGATCTTTTGTAAGAGAAAGAGCTTGTTTCTGTTCCTAGGAACTTACTTCTGTTACTTCTTTCTCCAAAGGAAAATACCAGGTTTTTCCAAGCCAACTCAAATGGGCTGTAGTCAGGATGGTTTTGGAATCAGACTTTAGATGAGCACATAAGAGGGGTGAGTTCAGATCTGCATTTCCACACTTGACTTTACAAGAATTCATGAAAACATGTTGATTTTCAAGGGTGAAATCTTGTCTCCTGTGAAGTCAGCAGTGCCAGGAATTTGTCTTTCTAACCAAATGTCTTGTCTGTACATTTTAAGATCACCAATGCCTGGTTCAAATTTCATGTGATGGCTTATGAGGGGTTTTTGCTTTTTTGGTCATTTCTGTATCCCCCAAATAAGGGTGTTGTTACAAGGAGTTTCTGGGAGCTTTTATTTGTTGAGCAGGAGATGCCCAGTGGGTACAACACTTATTTTCACCACAGAGCACTTCAGGAAGGTTGGCTGTCTGGGTTAATTAGTCTCCCCTCCCCAGGACAGACTTCCTGAGTGCTCCCAGTACCTGGATCATGCTGGGAAGGAGGTGCCACCCTGTTCCTGTTCATCGCTGAGCCTCGCATGTCATGCTGGATCGGGATGGGAGCTGGTCCCTGAGGTGGGGGGAGGATGGATTGTCTCTGCTTGATCTTTTCCTGGTTTGCCCTGCAAAGAAAATGACACAGAACAAACTCATCAGTGGTCACAGATCCCTTTTCCAAGAGACTGGAGTGTGACTAAACCACTGGAAAGAGAGGTTTATTGTTGTTGCTCCCAGCTGTATCCCGCAGCACTTACTTGAGTGTCTGTGGCCGTATCTTCTTCCCGTGCTTGTGGTCTGCCAGGGCACTCTCTATGTCCTCATGAACCATCTCCGCCTTAAGGGTAAAACAGGGATGTTTTTAAGGGCTTGGCTTTAGGAAGGATTGAAGGAAGGGGGAAAGGGCAGACAGCAAGAAGTGTGTTTTGTTCTGTTTCACAGCAAGCAGAAGGGCTCTGCTTACCTCCACCTCATCACAGTTGAAGAAGTGGATGTCAGGTTTGTGCTGCTCAGAATCCTGACACACGAGCAGGAGGATGGAGGAATAGCGCATCTGATTGAGCACTGTCTGGCAGTGCTGCACTGTTGGCAGGGGAAAGTCCTCCAGCTCCTCCTGCAAGAGAAGGGGGAAGGTGTCAGGCAATGGGGAACTACTGAACTGAGAGGGAATAATGCTGTGCAGGAACTCCTGGGATCCCTGGGCTGGTCTTCCTTAATTTGTCATTGCCAAAACCATCCTGTTCCCATGCTGCAGGGCTGACTCTAATCCAGGAGAGGATTTTGGTAGTGATTCACCCTTGTTTGTGCTCCTTAGAACTTGCTCTTTCCCAGGCTGAAAAGAAAGGGCACTCACTGCACCCCACACTTCAGTCTGGGGTCAGCCCCACAGGGCTCCAGGTACCTGTGTCTCACAGTCCAGCAGCCGGATGGATTTGTCATTCACTTGCAGCAGCATCTCCTGTGTCCAGATCTTCTCTTTGGAGTTGAGCAGGATGAGTTTCCGGATTGCATCATCCACTGTCGTGATGGACTCGCTCTTGTCCATGATGAAGGTGGCCAAGTGCTGAAGTTGGGGAGAGAAAGGAGATACAAACAGGTGGAAGATGTTTGTTGGGGTGTGTAAATTGGTGATGAAAGCATCTCTAGAGGCTTCAATTACTGTTTGTAGTTTCTCAGAGCTCAGGCATGAAGTTGCTGCTGCACAAAACAGTTTTGGTTGTTGGTACCAGCCTCATCGTGGCAATGAAAGATTTGGGTTTCATAATGGGTTTTCATAACCAGTTTCACCACTTGCATATTACTTTCATCAATTCCAGCAGCTCTCATCCCCATCCAGCAGGGCAAATGCTTCACACACGAGTTACTCCCCAGGCCCCTCTGAATCTAGCTTGGAAGTAGAACTATGGCAGTCAAACCATTGCTTTGCTTGCCAAGCTATAAAAGCACTTGTGTTTTGCTTGTCTTGTGTAGCAAGCCTGCTTGTGTGGGATTTGTGCCAGGCAAAGAGCTCACACAGACCATGGACAAGTGTTGGTCCCCCATGCCAAGTGGGGTCCCATGCTCTGGGAACAGCTACTCTGAAGAGCTTCTATGCTGCAAAGCCTTGAGGAGCTCCAAACCTGCAGCTCACTCTACACCAGCCCTTTAAGCTCCCCTTATGGTTGGGGTTACCTTCTCCCCAAAAAATACCCAAATCAGCCCTCATAGTAGTGAAAACGGGTGTTGCTGACTGTAGGAAAGGATTTTTTGCTGCCTGCCTCTGTCCTGCCCTGTGGTTTTGCTTGTTTATCCTGGTATTCCTACCTCCCTTCACTTCTGTAAACCCAGCCCATGGTCTTCTCCCATCAGCCAGGCTTCTGTGCTGTCCTCCCTTCTTTCCCCACCCTGTGTGAGCACTTGGGCCAGGAGCAACTCAGCTACAGCTCAGCCATCCAAGCTGCTTTCCCATCCCTGCTCCAACTGCATCCTGGAGTGTGTGGTGATCCAGGCCTCACACTTGGCACCTGTATGTGCAGTTTGTGTAATGGGGCAGCACTTGCAGCTTTGGTGAGCCCCTGGGACTCCATGGGAAGGGAATGGTGGGCAGGGAGGCAGCTGTGGAAAGGAGAGGTGTGTCACATCCAAACGTTGTGTCCCCGCCAGCAGTGGGTGAAGGCCACTCCACAAGTGCTGCTCCCTGCGGATGGAAGAACTGGTTGTGTGTGCCAGCAGAGGGCACTGCAAGGCAGGAAAAGCTGGGACTCGGAGCAGCCACGCTGTTTGCCCAGCTGTTGGCCCCGGGGCAGAGACAGCACAGCCAGGCCACATGTTCAGGTGATAACAGGGAAGGAAAAAAAAAAACCTCAGGAAGGGGAAAAAAATCCAAACCTCCGGAAGGAGCAAGGTTCTGTTTCACCTTGTTCTTTTGTTGCCCAGCTATGTTCTTGGTAGGAGGGGAAGGGGAACGTGCCTGACTGTCAAAAAGCAGCTGAAGCTTTTCCCTGTCTGTACCAACTTTCTCCAGCAAAGAAAATCAGGTTTTTGCATGGATAAGTTACAGGCCTGACCAAGGCATCTGTGCAGTCCAAGGGCCTGCAACCCTTGGAGGCTTATTGGACAAGATCTCAGCTTTTTCTCTTGTCCCTGGAGTATTAAAGGCCATCCACCAGCACGACCCTCTCATCCTGGTTTCCTTGCTCAGTAGGGTACAGAACAGGCACTTCAGCAGCAGTGGCTAATCTGGAGAGCCAGGGGCAGATTAACCCCTGGAGCAGGGGAATCACAGGGTGCCCTGGGGGGCCAGGGACAGCAGTGTGGCCACCCAAAAATGGTCCTGCCAGGCATTCAGAGTTTGTGGGGAGGCCAGCAGTGAAATGCCTGCTTCTCATTGATGCACACATCCTGGTTTCAAAGCAACAGCTGGAAAAACAGGGGGTGTTTTAAAGCAAGTCCTAAACTGATGGGAAATTTGTAGTAACAGGATGAGTTTTGCCTGGCTTTTTCTCCCTTTGATCCTGTATCTTCCTGCTTTCTCCCAGTGATCAGAAATAACCATTCTAGGGATCAAGTAGCTTCTTTCTGGGGCTGATGCACTCATGAGCTGGTTCAGTAACCCAGTGGGTTGTGTCCACAGTTGACATGTGCATCAGTGGGCCATGGAGGAGGATGACAAAGTTGTTGGGAAAGAATTCCTTTCTCCTTGTAAAAGCCCAAGTAAATGCAAACTGGGAAGCAGATTAAGAGGTGGCAAAAGCTGATGCTGCTCCAGCATGTCCTGCTGTGGGACTTGGAGAAGCTGTGGATGTTGGGGTCTGGCACAGAGCAGATGGACCTGAGATGGATGTGTGCACTCCATCTCAGAGCCTTGGATGGTTGTGAGGAAGCACAGGCAAGAACTGTTGCTGCAGTTGGCTCCCCACAAGGTAGATACAGGGAAAGACTTGGATTTAAAGCACTTGTAGACCTTGCAGAAAATCTTTAAACATGCTCTTGGGCATTAGGGCTGTATAGGGTTTGTGGTGACCCATTTGCTGTTAGATGTTTTCCAAAGACTGGACAAAGGAGCAGAGCAGAGGACAATGCAAGGCCCATTCCTGTGTTCATCAAGCAAAGGTATGGGGTGAGGCACTGTCTAAACAGAACTCCTGGCAGGTGTGTTAGCTGAAAGCTGAGATTAGCAATGCAATCACGAATGAAAAACATGCTGGGTGTATGTTACTGTAATTGTAAAATAGTGCATGGGAAGGTATTTGCCAAGTCAGTTTTATCTGTGCAGAGGTGACAAGCCCTTTACTTTCAGAGCAGTGAGGGTAAGGGTTTACTCAAGATGACAGGCATTTTTATCTCTTCTATTATTTTATCCACCACCTTTACAAGCTTCATAAATTCCTTTGCTGTTTACTGTTCAGTCAGTTCTCATGGAGGGGAAGTTACTTGTCTGACTCAGTCATTAGAATATTTTTCTGCTTTCCATTTTTTGTAAATATGGGTGGATTGAGAGGGAGAAGCTTGTTGCTGTCTTTGTTTTATCCCTTAAAAACCCGTTTTCTTCCAGATAGACATTTAAATACAGCAACTTTTATTAGAATGGGCAATGACTCCACCCACCATTAAACTTTGATCTGATTACTTCAAAAGGTATAAAATGCCTCCTGTGAGGAAACCTCATTCTATCTCACTGCCTGCCACTGCAATTCTGTTTGCCTTGGTCAAAGTTCAGGGGAGAGACTGACAAACAGGTAGCTTATGGCATAATTAATAAAGAATTAATTTACATGTCACTGTTTAAAGTCCCTTCTCTGCATCCATGAGTGGCTTCTGAGCCACTGAGTTGGTTTCTCCCATGGAAACCAGGACCTCTTTCCAAATAGGCACTTTACAAGTCTAAATGTAGGCTTTCAAGGGGCCCCATCTCCTAAATATGAACCTGAGGAAGTGTTCTCCTGTCCCCACCTCCTCCATGGAGTCCTGCACCACCAAGCTGCATTACAGGAATTGCCAAGCTCAGGATGGCCAGGCTGGCTTCTCTTTTTGGGTGGGTGTCTGTGGCACTGGGAGATGGATTTGGCTTATTGCCTGGCTTGTGTGAAGGGTTTGTGTTACCTGAGAGGACACAGTAGCTGAGGAGAGCTGAAAGCTGATAGTCCATGTGGTCTCTGTTGTTTGGAAAGCTGAGTTCCAGTAACCACCATGGGAACTCTGCTTTTAACCTGTCTGTGCTGATCAGAAGGGCTTAAAGCACAGGGTGACAGGATGGACAGCATCTCATGCTCTCCTTCAAACACAGAGGAGGGAGAAGACAACAGCTTCTCCATTTCCTCTTTCCATGTACAAAATTCTCCTTGTTTATTGAAATCTTCTTTTCCCCCCATTCTCCTTTACTCAGTGACTTGAGACTTTAATGGTAAGGAGGTTCCCAACTCGCCCTTGGCCTCCTGAAGGTCCAGAGCACAGGGACCACGCTGCACCACAGGCACCCATCACTGACCTGTCAGCCCCCTAGCGCTCCATTGCGTGTGTGTGCTCACCTGGACGTGGTACTGGGACGTCTCGTGCATAATGATGTTGGAGTTAGAGTATTTTTTCCTTTGTTCTGTAAGAAACAAGAAAAGAAGCATTGGTTGTTTTTCTTTGGATCTGAGAATTACAACTCTGAGTCTTTCTCACAGTCCCCGAGCTTCCATCTCGGGCTCGGCGGGCGCTGCCAGCAGGGGTCTCTCCAGAACAATCATTGCCTTTCCTTGAGCTTTGCCTTGGGGATTTCACCTTTTCTCCTTGGCCAGCCAAGAGCTTTTAAATCGAGCTCCTCTTGGTGCACGGGGCTGAGCACAGTCCTGCCCACGGCTTGGGGAGCGTACTGAGCACCCGGAGATATCCCAGTGATAAGGATCATGAAAAGATGCCACTGCTCTTCTTTGGAGCCTGGCGAAGGTGGGTAGAAGTTAATTCAAGCCGATTTCTAAAGCTTTTTAACACTTACCCTACCACTCTTTAGGCTGTGCCATCGATTGGCAGGACACAGGAATACTTCACACCTGTAGCTCCGTGCCTGTGGCTGAAAACACAGCAGTGTTTTGCCTCTGTGCCTGACTGCTGACAGCCCTGGAGTGGTGGATGTTCCCCAGTAGAAGTGATTTCTTGATTTATTGGTGGGAATATTGGCAGAGGCATTAATGGAGACTGCAGGGCTCTGAGCCTGTGTCTCATACACCACCAGCACCAGCTCAGAGGTAGAGTGAGGATGTTCAGGGGAAAGACCTCAGACACCCAGCCCAGCTCCCTGCTCAGCCATTCCAGAGTGACCTTGAATAAACAAATTAATATTGTAGCGCAGCCCCTTCCCACCTCAGGCTGGCAGGAAAGGCTCAGTGGCACTTTCTGGTTGCTGGGTGCTTTAATTGCAGTCTGTCCTACTTGCAATGTGGGGCAAGGTCTGGGATAGGGCACAGGCAGCGCATCCCACAGGGATTTGGGGCTGATGTGAGGCACTTTTTTCCTCTCAGTAACCTCAATTTCCTCCCTGAGCATTTCTCATGTAAATAGATGACACTGATGGAAATGAGAACACCGCATTCATGTGGGATGGAGACAGATTTGGGTTTTAAGACATCCCATCCCCTCCTTTTCCAAAGGGAGTGGAAAAGGCTGAAGTGGGTGGTCTGGAAACAAAGGGAGTTTACATTCAGACAGGCAAATGTCTCCAGCCCTGAGAGGAAGGGTGAGGAGCTGTGTGGGGAACTGGTAGTCCCTGAGGGAGGGAAGGAATACCAGGGGGATGAGGTTTCCAGTGGGAGATTAGCACAGGTCTGTGTTCCTGGTAGGAAAACAGCCCACGGAGCTGTAGCAGTGGTCAGGGCAGCAGCTGGTTGCCCTCAGACTCCCTGGGATCCCTTCCAGTGCCTTTTCCCCTTCCTCCGAGCTCAAAGAAGCTGCACGTGTCGCAGTCAGGGGAGATCTCAGTGTGCACTGCTGAGAAAATCTTCAGAGAAGCCCTTGGAAGTTCTGGGGGCTGGCCAAAACCTCAGAACTCTGCATAGCCCAACTTCCCATCACCTGCACTCAGTGACTGCAAGAGAGCAAAGGCCTCTTTAGCCCTTTGCAGCCTTGTTCAGACAGCAACAAGCCCTGGGACAGGGAGAAATGCAGATGTTTCCCCTCCCTCTGTTGATTTTTCCCTGGGGGAATTTCTACATTACCTCCACAAGCCACAGAAGTAGAACAAAGTGCCTCTATTTTGTCTCCCGATGTCATTCAAGTGATGTCCCAGAAGCTGCCCAGGGCAAGAAATGGGGTATTTCTGCATGTTCTCCTGAAATCCCTTCTGTCTCCTTGGCTTCTACCTGGCCCCCACGCCCATGGAAACTTTTAGTTTTGTGTTTCCTGCTGGCATCCGCAAATAAGACCACGAGGTCTGGAACCAGCCAGAGTTTCTGGGGACAGCAGGGTGCCAGAACACCAAAACCTCCTTCTTTTCTAGCACTTGGTTTTGAATTAAACACAGGAAGAATTAAAGAACCAGGTTACTGATCATGAAAGAGTCATATTTGGGCCACATCTATCCAAGGAGCGTGGGTGCTTTAAAGAAAATGAGTGTTTTTTGGTTTATTTACTCAAAACAATATGGTGAAATACTGCAGGGCTTTCCAACATGCATCATTATTTGTCTTTGATTAAATTTCTCTCTGGTTGGGCTGGGCTGATGCGAAAATGCTTTTAGGAAGAAGTTCTTCCCTGTGAGGGAGCTGAGGCCCTGGCACACGTTGCCCAGAGAAGCTGTGGCTGCCTGATCCCTGCAAATGTCCATGGCCAGACTGGGCTGGACTTGGAGTGACCTAGGGCAGTGGAAGGTGTCCCTGTCCATGGCAGGGGATGGAATGAGATGAGCTTTAAGGCCCCTTCCAAACCAAACCATTCTGGCATTCTGTGAATGATGCCTATAGCAAAATCTGGGGCTCTTTGACTTCTTGATCAAGGGGGATCCTTTGCCTGGCCCAGGTGAACTCCCTAGCCAGCCATACCTCAGAAGGCAGGTCAGCTGTCCTGTGTGGCTGCACCCTGTCCTTCTGCACAGCTTTGTCCCTGACCTGCTGAATTTTGTATGAGTGCATGCTGGCCTGTTAGCAGCAGCAGCAGGAGCTCATTTCCTCCTGCTTCATCTGACACCTCACACCAGGACACTTGGCATTTCTACAGTGTCCTGCAACAGGACCTGGGCACCTTCAGGTGTTATCTGACCCCTAACCTGGCCCCAGGATGTGGAGAATTTGCATAATCCCTATGTGATAGATGAGCATTGCTGAAATATAGTGATGACTTCCCCAAATTAACTCAGACACCAATCTGCACCTCTTGTTTGTCTCCTGCTATGACCTTCAGAGTCTGTGGCAGTGAAGGACTCTGGACATAACACAGGCAAAGGGCAGGGAGAGCTCCAGGGCTGTGGCACCTGTACAGCAAACATCCAGAGGTGATAAAGCTGGCATGAACCCACAGTGACCACTGTCCTTTTCCCCTTTTGTCTGCCAAGAGAGCCAAAGAGATGGGAAAACAATAGAGCTTTGTCCTGTCCTTTTTGTGTCTGGCAAGAAAAAACCCAGCTCGTAGCATGGGTATCGTGGCAGGTGCTGGTGGATCCCCTGTGGCCTGAGGAGCAGTTGTGCTGATCCCAGACACTTGCTGTATGTATGGGATGGGGAATCCAGAAAGCCTTGAATGCCCTGAGCATGGATAACATGTGGGACACACACAACCTCTGGTAAATTGTCTCATCTTTTGCCTCTCAGGGTCTGGCCCAGTGATCCCTAAGACAATCCTTTGAGGGGAAAAATCCCTATAAATGGTTCTTTAACAGAATTCACTTCAGTTCTCTGCTAACCAGGTAGCTTTAATCTTGCCTCACACCCAGAGGAGGGGTAAAATGGCAACGAATGTTATCTGCCACTGGTATCTTACAGATAAACAGTGCTGTGGGAATGGTGTTTCCCAGTGGCACCAGTGAGGAAATGGGAAGAGCTGAGACCACTGCAGAGGTACAAGGTGGTACCTGAGGGCTCAAAACAGTGCTGGGCTGAAATCCCAGTAATGATACTAAAATCTTGGCTAGAAGGGAAAGAGTCCTGTTTAGCTTTATGTTAAGGAGTGGAAAGGATGAAAGAGAGTAATAAATCAGGAAAAAAAGCAGGATGGATGCACATCCTGGAGGGCTGGGGTTATCAGCTTGGTGCAGGAAGCCAAAGCACATCTTTAGTGCCAAGTTCCCTCCCCATTTCCATGCAAAACCTTATTTAGCAGGGAGCTGGGATGTGGCTGTGAACGTTCAGTGAGCACAGGAGATCGGCTAGCGGGATAAACTGCCCGTGGGCCCAGCTCACAGCTGGGATCATTGGTTAAGGTCTCTGGGAATGCTGAGCAGTGCCAAGGAGGGCAGGAGCAGGCTTGTCTTTCTCCATGCACAGCCTCTGTCAAGCCAGAGGGGCACAGCACCCCCAGTACAACCTGCCAGTGGCCTCTGCCTCCCCTCCAGGCACATCCTTCTCTGATTAGTTTTACCACACAGGATCCTACCTGATCCTCCCTGTCCCTCCCCACATTTGTTTACAGCTGTTGCTGGGCAGAAGGCACAGCAGAAGACAGGGGAATGTATGAACAAGTACGGAGCAGTCTCTGAGGAATGAGAGGCATTGGATTTGTTTTCCCTGCCATTGCCACACCAAGGAGCTCTCCTCCATTCCCTGAATCACCCTGCTGACCTCCCCAGCCTCCACATCCATTACAGCAGCCTAAGGGAAGTCCTGGTGGTTACTTCTGGAGCTTGCCAGTTCCTTATATAACCTTTACGTTATCTATACATTATCTAGCAGTGCACACACTGTTTATAGGAACCTGCCAGCATAGCATGAGCTGCTCTGTGCCAAATGGCAGGTCAGGACCAGCCTGCTGAGCAGAAATGGGGCAGCAAATGCTCTGTGTGCTCATGGCAGCCACAGAAACCTGCCAGGCTGGCTTACAGAGCAGCAGTATGGAATAACCTCCATTCCAGGATCCCAGCCTGGGGCCAGATGTGGCACTTGAACACAGCATCTGCCAGGTTCCTGCTTCCTGCTCCAGGTTACCCAGGGTTAGTCAAGGATCTGCTTTTGGGCCTTGCACTGATCTGCTGTGCCTGAGATACCTGACAGGGGGAATCTGCAGGTCCTGCCCTGCTCCTTCCCTGCTCTCCATGGCCAGCACAGAGAGAGCTCCATTTTGGGATATCTTTGCAGTCTAGGGAGCATCAAGCTCCCTGGGTTTGCTGTTAGATCTGTGGTACTTGCTGAACTGCTGGGGCTGGTCTGTACTGGCGCCTGTGGCACTGGGAATGTGCCTGGTCAGCTCTGCCTCATGGCCGGTGTGAGCAGATGGATCTGGAGGCTCTTGGAGTGAATGAACAGCTCTCATTGAGGTGTGAATGGGCTGTGGCAGCAGGGAGCAGCGGCTCCGGCTCCACACGGCTGAATTCCTGCTCGGCACGCTTCATGTTTGCCACAGCTCAGCCCCAAGTGCTCACATTCCTGCTTTATTAGCTGAAGACACAACCCACTCTAGGAAAGCAAA